GCAAGATTTCCTCCATCCATTGTAGGGCACCCAGCCAAAATAGGAAGAAAAGCAGGGGCTACGCCGTGCATAAGCTGCACCCAGCACGTGGGATATGGCGTAGGACCTGGTTAGAGGGTGCATTTCGTACTCTGTCACTGAATGGACACGTTGGACCTGTCTGGGCTCTTGTAGACCGAGAGCATCGGCAGCCGCAAAGCCAAAACAGGAAGAACCAGGGGACCGTGATGCAAGCGCAGCGCTGCAGGGGCACGACATGACTTGGAAGGGGCGTTGCATACTCTACCCAAAAAATGGTGCTGCCATATTATATACTGGAGTATCGCATTCGTACGCAGCCTCTATTCGGACGAGGGGGGGTCACCCCCACGTCCATTTGAAAACCCGGAAATTGGAATTATTCCTATTATCCCTCCCCCCCGAATGGGGGTGGGGGAATGGCATCATGATAAATTTCCGCCAGCAAATCTAGGCGTGAAGGTGGAAACAGGCATGACCTTTTTGAGACTGCTGTGTCTTTCTGAGCAGTGTCCGTCTTAGCCCGTTGGAAAGTCCCGACTACAGCGGATGAACATGCACACTCTTCCCAGTACACATGGCTTAAGTAGAGCTGAGGCTTGGCAGTGTTTGGGAGCATTTGCTGCAGCTACGAAGCCCAGGCACATTCTGCAGAAAGTCGAGGATGCTGAAGATGCTCAGATGGCAGCGACTGCGTCGTTGGAATTGCAGCAGACCGAATGCTTGCTGAAGGCGGTATGCTACGTCTTTACGCCTTGTCTCGCCAAGCATTCTTCCGTGCAGTCTGCCTCGTGCGGACTAATAGCCCAGTGCTTCTGCAACGGTTTGCCCTTGCGTGCGTGCTTTCACGCAGATTCTCATTTTCATATTCATGCAGATGCATGCGGTTATGATCTTGCTCAGGGAGATTTTCAATCCCAGCAACCTGTGGCTGAGAAAGCTGAGAAACTGGACTGGTGCGCGCCTGAGAGTGAAGAGGCCCGGTCCTGGCAATTGATTGGCATTCTTAGCCTTGAGGCTTAGTTTGCCACGTCTGGTCCGCTGGGGAGTCCATCGAGTTCGTGTGCTTGAGGTGGACGAGGCTGAACCTTGCTACTTTCAGGACGGCTTGTCAGAAAATGAGAATGGGAAGCTGTACCGTGCAAAAGGTGTTGGCGCGCCAGCGGCCCCGAACTGCTCGAAAAAGGCGTGCGCCATTAGTTCGGACCTTAACGAGCTGCACCGTTGCAGTCTGCAATGTCTCATGGAGTGTAGAAGGCTCAGCTGTCTCATCTCAGGTAGCTTGAAGCTGCAAACGGATGGGCAGAAAACACGGCGCGAAGGTTTCAATGTTGCTGATTGAGAACATGTTTTTCCGCGCTGAGCTATACAGTGCAGTAACATCTACCCTCGCACCCGCCGCACCGTGCAGCATCCTGGTACCCGCCATGCCAACTCGCAGCGATTGCATGCTATGAGAGGTCACCAAAATCCATGTGAGCCCGTGTTTGGAACTCGCAGCTGATTTGTGTGAGAAAGTGTGTTCTGAGCACGTCATCGTCAAGAGTAGCCTAGCTTCCGCCATGGGCAGCGCCATCATACCAGCACGTGCTGTGCTGTGTATCATGTTAGCGCTGGTTTGCTCAACGTCGTGGACGTCGACTTTTGCTGGAACCGCCGGCCGTCACCCTCGCAACACAGGTTCTCTTGTACGCCGGGCTGCTGACCGCTCATGGGGGAAGCTAACGCCAGAGGACCGCAGAAAACCTGCAGGTGGAGCTGAGTACTTGGGAGAGTTCCTGTATGAAATGGCGCAGCTAACGCCCTGTCGTTACTTTGTCAATGGCTTGGCAATTATGGAGGCAAATGCAGACTTGCGGGGTGGCCGTGCCGTTATCTCAATCGGCCACTCGCCTAAGGGCAAGCCCGTTCTAGTACTGCGGGCACAGGACGGCACATTCCAGCTAAAGCTGGATGCAGAGGCAATCGTCGCCATTGAGCTGGAGGAAGCAGAGCAAACGGGCGCTCATATCATTCGTTTCTTGGATAGTCAAAGACGACGCCACCTCAGCGCTGTCATGCTAGGGGATGACGCCGAAGCACGCTTCCAAATCATGATGGGTAGGTGGACCTCCCGCGTTGACCTGCGGAGATAGACTTGCATCGACAAAGGCAATCGCACAGCTAGCATGTAAGTCATGCTTGCTAATGCTTTGCTGTAATTACTTGACCAGATGATGCGAGCTCGCGCCACTGCGGTGCTTTTGTAGGCCCCTAGGCTGGCAGCTGGACTAGAGAATGCAGCTGGTTAGCACCGTCGGCGAAAGCGTTTTGTTGCATATGACTGTCATGCAGCGTGTGTAAGGTGCAATGCCAGAGCTAGTGCGTTTCTGCTGCCGCAGGATCAAGGAGAACAGTTTAGTTTGCACCGTGTTTTCAGAGCAGGCACATGAGCTCCTGCTTGGTATGTGGTCCGTTCCATGCCGCCGAAGTGGAGACCCCGGAGTGCCTTGCCTTGAGTATGGCGCATGATGGCAAAGGTTGCCCATGGAAACGGATTGTCCCGCAATGCTGAACACCACAACGGGGCCAAGGCGACCGTCCATCAGCGCGGACATGGCCATCGTGCAGGATATCAAGACTCTGCGTGAGATGCTCCTAGGCTTAGGCTTAGGCGCATCATCCCCTTAATCGGAGAAGAGCGCCGTGGCATAGTGCTTTTGAGCACACTTTGGCGCTGCCATGGCCATAGATACAGCTGCAAATAAGGCTAACCAGGAAGGTGCAGATGATGGACGCAGTCAGAATGCATCAGAGTGCCATGGAGGTGCATGATAGGCAGACCGCAACTGACCCGTGCTTGCAGTCATGCTTAGCAGGTAGCAATGAAGGATTTGGACGACCAAGTTCAAACTGCGAGGTGCGGTTGTAGCGGGGATTCGGGGAGTCGGGGAGTCGGGTGGAAGAAGCTGGTAGACGCCAAGCGTGCTGTTGGCTGTGTGGCTGCTTGTAAGAGACTGAGAGAGGTACGCGCTTGATGATCTCGCATTGAAGCTGGAAGTCCAGAATATAAATGAGGTACAGGCCGCGCACTGTGAAACGTGCGTTTGCAGCTGGTCTGTTTCTCATTTTTTGATCAGGTTTCTGACCTCCCGGTGGATGGCCATGACCAGGCTTTTGAACCTTGACTGCATGTGGTACGTACCGCCGCCCCATGCAGAGACAGCCCTGTGAGGGCTCCAGCTCATACTAGCTTACCGAATACCCCAAGACAAATGGGAGATTTTCCGACGACTGTCGCGCCGTGCTCCTCGCAGCGGGTCTGCAAAAGGCCTGCATGGCAGACTGCTAGTGCATTGGGGATTGGTGCGCGACCAAGGATCCGCCAGCCCCAGATGGGCAGGCTTCACCTTCAAAGCGTCATCCCACCGAACTCAGCGCACCTTGTCCGCAACAAGGATGATAAACTCCTTGTATGATACTGTATGATGCATAAGCGTTGTGTGGTACTGTAGTGCATCAGAATCAAGTGGTGGGAGAGTGTGCAAAGCATGAATCTGTCAGCTGAGGCAGTTCCGGTGGAAACGGCCTCTCAGCCACAATTGGACCAGGGCGCTGCTGGTTTGCGTGTCCCTGATTGGCCCTGACCAGGACAAGACACCGGTGGAACTTGCGAGCCAGCAGCAGACTTCTCAGTTGCATTGATGCCAGCTTCCGGGCACTGTGTTAAATTCCTGCGGTCGACTCACTGATGTATCTGATATGTCATGTCAGGGTGCTTACAAGGGCTCTCAGGGTGCTTGTGCTTCTAGCTGGTGTTCGCCACACGGCACATACTCTGTGAGACACCCTTGAGCTTGCACTTTGTGCTTTGGTCCTTGGGTCAGAGCTTCTGCTGCTGGCCAAATTGAACGCAAGTGCCCGTGACTGTGAGTACCTTGAGCAGAGGCAGGTTTTTGGTTCTCCGGAGCAGGCTGTGGCATCTATAGTCAGATACCATGCCTTGCTGATTCCAAACTGATCAAGTACGCTCAATTGCGAAGAAGAGGGCAAATACTTGAGGACTTGCACGTGGTAGCGCAGCGTAAGTTGACTTGCGGCTGAGGTCATCGGACCGGGACATGGCAGGGGGGACACTTCTTTCCAAGCTGCAGAACCAACTGCAAACTCCCACGGTGGAGCTTCCAACGCTGAAATTTGGCTTCTGGAATTTCATTCGCAGTTGGTGCAGGACGAGCCATGCAGTTCAGATCGTTGAACATAATGCCATGCGCCGAAGGTTATCCGGAGTCTAAGCGGAACAGTTTGATCATTGGAATCGTGGTGCATTTTTCAAACAGAGACCACCACATCAAAGGTTGGGCTTAAGGTGTAGGTCACCAAGCCGCTTGTACCCATTGCTGTTCTGGTTGGCGTACTTTCTGTGGGCTCGAAGGCTTCCATATTGAAGGAAGTCTCTGTACACTAGCGCGAGCCTGCCTTTTGCCTGCTCAAGTTGGTGTCGGGATCACAATTCACAGCTGCTTACGTCCAATGAGTGGTGCCTCCCAAACAGGAGGCTGGTTGATGAGAAGGGCTTAATTGGGCAGCGGTTCGAGTACGTGGTTTGCATCGTGATTGTGGCTTCTTGATCTGCATTTGATCATCTGTGTTTAAACATAGCCTGCTTTGAGCTGGCAATTTTTGAGGTGAACTCCATCCTGATTGGCGTTGAGTCTGAATTGTCCTTGACCGCCGACACCGAGAGCTGGGCAAGGCACTAGCTTGGCATGGCCTCGTTTCGGAGACTTGACGAGCGAGATCTCCAGGCCTCTTGAGATCACCTTTCTTACCATCTACACACTCGCGCTGTGGACGCACATAGTGCAACAGGAATAATACTTTGCATGCCAACATCACAGTCAGCAAGCCTTGTCGCGACCAAAGCATGTCCACCTTGAGGAAATTGTGATCCGGCTCATCGCAAAGGGATGGTGGCTCGGATGCTAGCTGCCCGCCGTGCCACATGCAAGCTGTAGCAAGTTGTGCTAATTGTACTAGTAAGACTGCAAACGGTAGCTGTTGCTTGTACCGCGTGTGATATTGCAAGCGAATTGCTAGTGCCTTCTTCGGAAGCCGTGTCAACATGACGGCGCTTTGATTAGAAGAAGCTCCCAAGGAAGTGCTTCCAAGATCGCTGGTTCCAGTTTGACTTTGCCCTGGTGGTTGTCACTTTCGTGGGCCAAATTGTTGCCAGCTTTTCGCAGGCAATGTCAGATGCGATGCAGCAGGTCGGGCAGTGTGACAGGTAGCTTGCGACAGTTCAGTGCCTCAAACTACCCAACGCATGCCGTCCCTTCTGATTGCTTTCCCTTCCCTAAGAGATGGGGACAAGTGCTGGATAGGTATGGGCTCATAGTGAGTCCTGCATGTTGCTGACCGCGCTACAGCAGCAGGCTAGTTTTAATGCAAGCCCCAACTTGAGTGAAGGTGCTAGTCTTGAGGGCCATCCGGCTTCTGCGGCTCATCCGAGCATTCAAAATGCCCCATCCTGAGCATCACAGTCAAGCTTCACAAGTTTGCAAGCGAGACTTGCGACATGAAACCTGGCATGACTAGGATCAAGCAACTTCGTACTGTGTGGCGGTTGGTGTACGGACTGATTACCTCTGGTGTCTCGGCTGCTCCTGATCAAGTGCACAGAAAGAATAGGACAACGAAGATACGCCAAGGTGAGACAATGCTTTCCACTCTGGCTCTTCTCTGTCTCGCTACTGGTTTGCACCCATTGCCCTCGATTGTTTGCTAGGTCGGTAGACAAGGAGACACCGTGCCGGGGGAGGTAACTCCCCTCAGCACCCGAGCGAAAGAAACTGTGCGATGGTGCCATTTTTGCAAGACTCGTCGTCCATTCACTGGTCCCCGACAAGATGGTGTTCGTGTGTTCAGTCTCGGGTGGGAGACTTGTTTGTTTGGTGTGTCGTTGGTGTAATCGCTGGTCTCCAATTACGACTTGCTTGGTTGTTGTCTGGTTTCCTTCTCACCGGGCATTTCATTGCGCTGGATTTCTGTTGACTATCATAGTTTTCCTTTGCTGTCAAAGTTGGGAGATTACTGGGTGCTTGCTTTCTGTTGTTGTTTGGCTATTGTTCTGCTGCGTCCGTTGTTTGCTCATGCAGTAGTTGTTGCTGATGTTGTTGTTTCCGCTGTGGTTGCTAGCGGCTGTGATCTTTGCATGCTGTCATGTCTCACTTGCGTTTCTGCGGGCGTTTCTCTGTTGGCGTGTGAGCGTCAAGGTCACATTGTACAAGCATGTTGGCGTAAAACA